GGGACACTGGCACAATCCTGTGACTCCAAACTCACTGGTGAACAATGGCACTGTGGGGAATTCAGGTAACTCTTCTCTGTTGTATCAAACCTCTCGCACTTTGTGTACAAGTGTTAAGTGTTACAGAAACAGCTAACTCTTTCAACTTGTTTTATATTAAAAATGCAGTGCTTAAGAAACTAAGTCATTGCCTTCACTGTCTTAACGTTTTCATAGGAAAAAAAATAAGGCAAGCTGGGTCATTGCAACTTTTAGGCATTGGTCCTATCTGCTATTAACAGGTGTGCAACACATGAGAAATCATGCATTCAACTGAGAAATGTTCTAATAATTGTTTGAGTCTAAAGCATGTTTCTGTCAATATGCTTACAAATACAGTTTCCATTTATGTTGTAGTGTCGTTTATTAGATGAATGCTGAGACTGCAACTACAAACTTAGAGACTGGCAGAATTACGGCTGTGCAAGTTGAATATTGCCTCCTTGCATTTGGTGCAATATAACACGATCTTATGCATTAGTTTTTCCTATAATTTATTCTGCCACATTTAACTTCCATAATCTCAATGTCATTTCCTGAAATCACTTCATACAGATTTTCCCTGTGACAAGTGGGCAACAGCCTTTTGCCTCATACCAAAGCAAAGTACATTTGTATGTTTGGGGCTGAGAAAAACAGTATATAGTATTTAAAGCCCATACAATTCTCTGTGCAACATAAACCATGGCAGCCCCTAAATTTTAACTCTGATCTTTTGATCATGATAGTGGTCTCTTGATTTATTTTGAGTGTGTAACTCCTCCTATCTTTAAAAAATTGTCTCCATCGTACAATATACTGATGCAGTTGTTTATCACGAGATGGAAATGTTGAATCTCCTGCACAGCCTTTCTCTGCACTAGTAAGGTAACTGACAGCAACGGTAGATTTTCAGCTGAGTCAACAGCATTGCATGAGGTGTAATTCACCAGTGAGTTTCAGGTATTTGTTGAGATGCTGGAGATGTGATTTTCTATTCAGAGCTTTGTGGGGCATGTATTTTAGAGGATACAGAAACTGCTACCAGTGTTTTGTGTGCCTTCAGTGTGCTTTGTCCCTGCCTTTCCATTTCTGACCTTAATTCTCTGTCCAGGCTTGTCTGTCCCCTCCTCCACGTCCACCCCAGCTCTGACATTTTCTCAAGCAGCTCCTTCCAATCCAAGTCATCTTACCCAGATAGCTGCCTTTCTTCAGACAAGCTCCCCAAATCCTAGTTTCTGCTCCATTCTCCCTTAACGAGTCCTGTTTCTTATCGTGTAGTCAGTCCATCTTCAATCTCTTTCCTTTTGCTCTCTCTCCATTTGCTTCCACTCTTACTGTGCCTGCACAGGTTTCCCAGTTTTCTTGTGCTGTCAGTCACTGTATTTTTTTTTTTCCCCCTCAGCTTCCATCTGTTTCCAATCTCATCGCACTCCTTTTCTTAGTTTCCAGTCCTAGTATTTTTCCTCTCTGTATCATTTATTCAGTTTTGTTTCCTTTTTGGCTTAAATGCCATTAAGGTGGGGTCATGGGGTAGGCGCACAGTAGAGATGAGCTGTCCGCTCTGTGTGTGAAGCCTGCCTTCTTACTTGCTCGGGACAATTTGCAAACAGTAAGTTCATGGAAACTTTGTCTTGGCTCATGTAACCATGATTTTGAAGGAGTGACTTTACTTTCTTTTCATTAGACAATTGATCAGAAGTAGGATCATTAGAAGTTTCAGACAGACAACTTTTTTTCGTGCATACTCCAGAGCCATGCTTTCTGTTTATTGTATAAAAGTTACTGTTCTTTTTAAATGTGTAGCTTACTTTTATTTAATGAAAGTCTGCCTGTGAGGGTTTTTTTTTTATGATGAGGCTGAAGGGGAACTGATAAACTGAGAAGGATAGTTACTTAAATTTATTTATTTTTAAATATACATTGATCAAGTTTTTGAATTGGCAGGCATTGCTGTGTCTTACAAAATTAGGAGCTATGAACAAAGACAGCAGGATTAGTAATATGGCATTTGGCATCAACTCTTATGTGTCCTGCCTCCTTGGATGCTTGATTTCTCATCGTTAATGCTGCAGTAATACTGGGACTGGGTTTGTAAATGGAATAGCTTGCAATTTGTGTACTTATTTCAAAAGTTTTTATTTTTCTCTCTAAAAACCAATTTTAAGTTGGTCCAATGATCTAGATATGAAGTTTCTTAAGCATACAAGTCTTAGTGGAATTCCAGTGTACATCTGAGAATTATTTCTTGCAGTAGGATAATAGCTTTCATGTCACAGCTGTGTCAGTGATAGTGAATATCTCTGTGGGATCAGATATTAGTAACATTGTTCAGACTTTGTATTTTTCATCATGAGAATGACATAGGAATAGTGAAATTGTAGGTCTTGATTTTAATACTGATACATCCTCTTGTTGTCCTCCCCAATGAATTCTATTGTAGTGAATAATGAAGTAATTTAGGTGGTAATTTTTGTTGATGTATATTTAAAAAAAAAAAAATAAAAGAATAGCACATCAGCCTAATTGCATTAAGTCCCCTGCAAACTGTTATTTAAGATGTAAATTGTATTTGTGACTTACTGTTTAATTATTTCAACTTGAAATGTGCTTTTCCCTCTCAATTGAAAAATAGATCAGGGTCTCCAAGGACAGTTTGGTAAAATGAACCCTCCTTCTGTCCCTTGGGACCATGGGACCCCTACCCATTTTCCTCTCCTCCGAGGAGCGTGGCCTTACAATATGCCTCAGAACTACATGCAGCAGGGAAATGCCAGCTATCCACCGAACAAACCTTTCTACCCTCAAGGTACTAGAACTAGTATATGAATCAACAGCTCATGCAACATGTCTCTTTACTGTCTCAAAGGCTTTAAAAGCCAAGGAATCATGTTTCACTTGCTAGGCTCCCTGGAACCATAATGAATCCAAGAGTCAAATCAACGCTTCGCCTTCCTGTATGGATGGATGAAAGTCTTTGCGGGGGGGAAGGGGTTACATCAAATTCTGAAACCTGAGCCAATTTGCAGTCTGTTGCACTTCTAGCCTCTTTCTCCTTCACTGCTGCTGTTTCACGGTAGAGCTACCTCTGCTTCAACAGAGGTTAAGATGATTTGCCCATGAGCATGTTAAGAATATGCAGAAAATTTTGTCCTAATTCATTTTATTTGGCTTTTGTACCTTGCCCTGTGGAATGACTTACATAGGTAAAAATTTGCAAGACCATGGAATAATTCAGGTTGGAAGGGGCCTCTGGAGGTTATCTAGTCCAACCACTAACTTCAAAGTTAGATCAGGTTCAGTTATTCAGGGTCCTTTGTAGGACTGACTTTATCTCAACTCTTTCTGATGCTAGTGAATGGTAACGGTGTTCAGCATCTGGCAGGATTGGGAAAGGCTGTAGGAAAAAGACCTTTGGCTCCACTAAGAGAGAAACTATGCCCAAGTTTTACTTGGAGGCTTTGCAATTACCGTGTTGCTGGGTCACACAGTGTAAAATGAGAGATACTGGCACCAAATCCTTTTTCAAAATCTATTGGCTGTAGTAGGGTTTTCAGGTGAGACCCACATTTAAAAATCCTGAAATTATTTTTGTTATAAATAAATAAAGCAATGCAACAAAATAATGTGTTCACGATTCTGAGGGAATTTTGGAGATAGGATTAAAGTAGTACTGTATTGTCCCATTAGATGGGTTAGTCATACAGATAGCATTTGTGTCAGTCTAGTAGATGGCTTTATTTCTAAGTAAGATTAATACATTGAATATAGCCAAGCACTGTTAAATATATTTAATTTGCTGAAGTAATTGTGATCCATTTTCTTTTAGCTGGTCCACTGATGCAGAGTAACCAGCGGTTCTCGCTTCTGTCTCAAGGACACCCACACTTGAATCTGAATTACATTCAACAGAAAAAGTGAAATTTAATGGGATTGTGGGTGGGTGGGGGGAGGGGAGGAAAAAAAATTCAGGTTCTGATTTAAAAATCTTAATGCAACATGTTTAGATACAAGATTATTTAAGACTGTTTTTAAACTGTATCATTTGTACATAGATATGAACTATAGTTTTTACTAGTATCACAAAACTGAGTGATACAAATTTCATCTATTTTATTACCCTATTTTTAAGGGGAATTGTGTTTTGTTTTATCTTGATAAACTGTAAAGAGAGAGAATTTTTAAAATTAAGTTCTTTATTTTCTATTAGCTGTATTCATACTTTGGTTGCTTCAGACTTTATATATATTGTTCTAAAAAAAATAAAATTAGAAGGGGATTTCATGTGTTTAAAAATTTGTCACTTCTATTCTTTACAGAACGATGTAGTGCCAAAAACCTTTTTAAAAGAAAAATAAAACTGCAAAAAAAGGACACAAGACTTTTTCCTCTTCCCTATTTGTATGCATGCTTGCATTTAACTGTAATTAAGAAACCAGAATAATAAAAATGGCTTTAATTTAGGTATCTCAAAGAGATGAAAGATGAACAGCTTTAACGAGTCATACAATCACTATACCTGTTTTTCCTCATGCTAGCATCATTGCATGTGCTGTTCACAGCCAGTGTGTCTTTCTTGTAAAATACTTGATTTGAGGGAAGAGTACACCTACTTCTCTGTTCATAAATTTTGAAAAATAATCCAAAAATACTCTAGACAAATGAGGCTGTACTGTGAAGTAATCTTAAAGAGGACTTACCATAAATTCATTTGGCGTACTACTCTTTGTGCTGTCAACAGTCATTGGGCAGTATGTGAAAATACTTAAGCCATAAATGCAATCTTCAGGAAATAAACCTGTCAGTCCCTGCTCCTGAAGCAAGACTATAAATAAAGTGATGGTATGCAAGGGGTTTAACACAGCTCATTTCCTGTGATACATAATTAAATGTACTAAGATGAGAACGGTAAAAAGAGCTTAATTATTCTTAATTTGAAAAACAGGGACTTGCTGAATGCTAACTCCATTTAGGGAAGGTAGAGCTGAGCATAACTGTGTCATATTCTGTCCCCAGGCACAGGTAGGCCACAAACTATGCTCAAAATAGTGATTTACTGTCTTTATGTATATTGAATAACTTTTTGCCTGAAAAGAATGAAGTGGTGCTTTGTACTACTCAAACCTAAACTGATAGTAGCATCAGAAGAAGTGTATCATTAGACTTAAGGATGATTCTTACAAAGGAACCAGTAACAGCTGTGTTTAAGTTAGCCTTGCTTTTAATAAACACAGTGGATTATGACAGTCTTACTTCCTTTTCTGTACTGGAGGTTTGAGATAGTTCAGGCTGGTAGCTCTTCAGTGTTTGTAACTCCAACATACTCTCACTTTAGCAACCAAATGCAGTGGCTGTTTGTCAAAACAATGCCCCAATTTGAGAAGGAAGCCAGCTTCGCCTAGGGGACCTGTAAACAAGGCAGTATGAAAGAAACAGCAAGGAGCCTTTAAAGACAACCCCCCCGTTTTTTTTATTGCTCTTCAGTGTTTTTTACAGGCCTTGAGAAAAAAAAAATAAAAATAATCCTGAAATTCTATCAAATCACAAGTATGAGTAACAAACTACATAAAAAGTATCCTTAGCTTTCTTTTAATTAAAAAAAAACCAAACAAGACTTATACAAGAGGAGAAGGATTAAAGAAATGGACTGCTAAAGCAGCCAGTACATATCCAGCTGTCCCATAAAGCAAATAGGACAGTATTAGACTGCAGTTCAAGGTCCTTAATCTGTGTGCTGGATTCAGTTTGTTATTCATTCCCTCGCCGACTCTTCTTGTGACTTTTCTTAGATCTGAAAAAAAAAAAAAAAGCTGCATGACACAGTACTAGTAATTGTTTTAAAGACAATTACTAGACAATTTAAAAGTGATTCCTAGCAGTAAGCGGCATTTTCTGTGCATGACACAGTACTAGTAATTGTTTTAAAGACTACTTAAAGACAATTACTAGACAATTTAAAGGTGATTCCTAGCAGTAAGCGGCATTTTCTATGATCAAATATGGATAGTGGAACTTGACTACAACACTGAGGGAGGGAGGTACTGTATGAAATTTGATCTCCAACATCATAAGAACCACCTCAGTCCCCAAGATTAAATGACAAGTAAGAGCTCCTACAACAGTACAGACACCCTTAAGAAATAGACCAAGCCTTTACCTTTCAGGTGATTTGGAATGACTTCTGTGTCTATGACTACGATGATGCCCTATGGGATAAAAAGGTAACAGTTACTTCCATAGACCCTGGAATTATTTTTTTGTTTTGCTAATGTAATCTGCTTCTAGTGACCAAGTGTCCTAGATAATGCCAGAACAACCCTAGCCTTAATTAGGCACTCAAGTTAACCTCCTGGCAAATAGCTGAAAGACATACTCAAGGCAATTTTGCATGTATGAAATGAGTTCTCCAGCTGTGCTTTCATGTAACTAGCAGTTTTATGAGCCAGAATAAGCACCTATGCTACCTGCTTGATACCGTGGCACAGATTTTTCTAGCCATGGATGTTCTGCTGATAAAGACTTGCCAGAGTTAATCTGTAAATGACAAAAATACCTGGAGATTTAGATCTTGATCTGTGGCGCCTCTCCCTGGATCTGCTCCGGTGTCGTCTTGGGCTTTTGCTGCGATGCCTCTCCCGGCGTGGTGATGGACTGAGAGAAAGGAAGCTTTTAATATGGCCATACTAAAAATGCACACATGCTAAAGTTAAATAATAGAACAAAAGACTACCTTCTTCTCTTCGGAGAGCGGCTCCGCCTGTAATAAGAGGAGAAAAGAAAAAGTTGCTAAAAATCATTAGCAGAACCAGCTGTTTAATTTCCCATATTCTCCAGCAGCAGCACCAGGGCTTCCCTTGCACTCCCTGTGTCCCCAGCTAGTGTGTGTTTGGCCTGCTGCACAAGAGGCAGTACCTGCTTCTGGATTGGCCCATACAGAGAGCAAATGAGCTTAGTGATGAGTTTTTCCTGGCAATCAAAAAGAATTAACAGGATTTTCTTTGCAGCCTTTGCCTTACATGAAAAAAAAAGTGCTTGGTTCTCCTTAATATCTTGACTGTGTTGCCAAATTTAGCTGAAGCTGGCCAGCAAGTTCAAGAGTTACTGAAGGACTAGAGAAACAGGCAGACAGGTTGACCGTGGCTATGCATTGCAACACCTCAATTTAGAAAGAGGCTAAAGAAATTGGGAGGTCTACGAGATTCTGGCTGAGCTGTCGTCTTCGCTTCTATGCTTTGCTCCAGCCATCTTCAGTACAACAGGTAAAAATATTGCTCAAGAGAAGCCATATCACCTTCTTGGAGACCTGCTTCGGCTCCGCCTGTATCGCACAGCTGGAGATCTGCGAGGTTTATCAAGGTCTCTGTAGCCTCTTCTGCGGTGGTCAGGAGAGGGCGCTCGTTCCAGCTGGAAACAACGGCAGGAAGGGGGCGGGGGGAGGTTCTGTAAGCTTTCTTTCATTAAGGTTTTTATCTATCAGTCAGTAACGATTTCTGAACAATTAATATAAATGACAAGTGCCATGCAATCAAGCTTCCCCATCCTTAAGTATTTCATAGTGAGAAGTGAGTGATACTGCCCAAGTTTGCCAACTAGAAATTAAAATGGCCATCTCTCATACTGTTGATTCTTTAGATGTACAGCAGAATTGACTATGATGGTCACCATAACCTTCATCGTCACCTTTAGTTCTCTCCATTATATATGTATGTATAACAATTTATCTGAAATAAATAGATTTAACACATAACAGATCCAGATTTGTGAATTTCAGGAGACAGAAAATCTTGTCAAAGGCAGAGCACTTGAGAACTGCTTCAGGGTCTAACAAGCAGCAAGCAACCCCCTGGTGCCCCCCCTCAAATATTTCTCATAAGCCATAAAGTGTTCTGTGGCAGTTCAGCACCAGCTTTCCCTTTCCAAAGGAGTTCACCCACCTTTTCATCTTCTTCTTCCTCCTCCTCACTAGATTCTACATCATCCATGTCTTCTTCCAAAGCACTAACACGAGGCTCGAGTTGCTCGGCTTCTTCCAGAACATACCGTTTCTAGGAGAAATTACAACTTTGTCTTGCGTAACCCAAGTAAAACCAAATATCTCAGGAGGCACTGAGTGTGCCAGAAGGGCCTGCACCATAGCTTTATGCAACAGGCCAGTAGCTGATACAACTATTGAATCTGATGCAGTCAAGAATTCCATAACCATCTATTTTTCCATACCTGTAATCGAGGCAGAATGATATCGCATACACGTTCCTCGTGGAGTAGTTCATCAATAAATTCATCCACATGCATCAGTTCAAATTCTGGGGGGGAAAGGGGAGGAGGCGGAAGTAGCATTTAAAAGACAAAGAAGATTAACAGTATTGGCTACAGTAAAGATGAAACATTTCAGACAATTTATGTCAAGTGGGCTATGCAAACAACAGTTCTAAAATCATTCTCAAAGATGAGGAAAATCATTAGGCCTAACTTGCAAAAAGGAAATTACTGCAAAGCTATGATTAGCAGATTCACAGTGCTTAAACCAGCACTCAAATGGTGTTTCTTTGGTATTTATGGGCGTTTCAGCGCCCAACACAAAACACGAGCACTTGGGCAAAGCAAAATAAACAAGGCAGTTCTCATTTGTACAAGTTGGCAAGACTAGCAACAGACTATCCAAAGGATGAATAATCAAAAGAAAGATTTCAAAAAGATAGTTATGCCACAATTTTTTAAGCTTGTATTACTTAATATTTACTTTTATCTAGTGTAATACTTTTTTTAACAAAAGGTCATCTATGAGGTACTAAGAAACCACAACTAAGGAAGTGCTTACCCCCATTTCTGTTCTGACTTTTTATTTTTCGATAGTCATTGTACAGTGGTTCAAGATACTTGTAGCAGTCAATGGCAGTGCCTGTCAATCTCATGTACAACGCCCCAAGCATTCGGACATATCTGAAAAGTAAACCGTTTCATGTACCTGAGCTTTTTGCAGAGTTAGCAGTTCAGATAAAAAGGGGGTTTTCCTCTTAAGTTTCTGAGGAAAATGAGTATGCTAAAATAAATAGAATACACGACCATTTAGATTTCCTCCTTCAAGTACTCAAGTATACATATGAAAATATATATATACTCAAGTATACATATGTAATGTCTGTATGGGTGCGTTATCACTCAAAAAGACAAAAAGAAGTACTGAAGTAGATTAATATGGCTCTCTTAATGCACCTCATTCTAAATACTTCAGGCGGAGGTGTATTACCACAGAGAGCAGATGCCACAACAGCAAGCCATTCCAACAGCCCAAGTGACAAGGAGCAGTCTTGAAAGCAAGAGGAAGGACATGCCTTTTAGCAAGAAGAGTTTTATCAAAGCCCACTAAAAGCTAAGCCCGGCAGTGAGGTTTCCCTAGCAGTTTTGGGCAGTTTCATTCAGCACAACAACCAAAAGAGAGAAAAAAAAAAAATCAAGCTACCAACTTACTTGAAGTCCTCGTTTTTTATGAACTCCACGATGATGTCCTTTTCGGGCTGGATCTGCAGCATCTTCAGCGTCAAGCACAAGAAAGGGGTAGGCTTAATG